TGTGTGTGTGTGTGTGTGTGTGTGTGTGTGTGTGTGTGTGTGTGTGTGTGTGTGTTTACACACACATATAAGATTCACTGATAAAATGTTGATAGATCTTCTGTCCTACAGTGTTTATCTATTCACAGTTTCAGTGATATGGCCTTCCAGTTATGACAYGATTGGTGGCTTTGTTTTGCTCTACTGGTAAACTATGTTTAAATGAGCACCCTCTGATAATCTGAGGTTAGACAGATTCTAAAGCTTGGATCTGTCTCATCCCTGAGTGCTGACATCTTTTTTAACATATATATTTTTTAAATCAACAAGAAGGCTCTTCCTGTTTCCCCTATCTTTCTGCCAAAACAAAACCAACTGTACACATAAGTGTCTACAGTGCATTGTTTTGTTTAATTGAACAAGGTATAAATATGTCTTGCAACCAGCAAGTAGGTAATTTCTGTGACTTAATGCAGATGATAAAGTAAGATACAAGTGTTTGAGGCGAAAACTGTCAGTGAAGTATTTTTCTGTTCAGTTTGGTGTGGTCTGATTTAGTCCTTCAGGCTACAGAGTTTGAAGTCTCCTGTGGTAAAAAAAAAATATATATATATATATATATGCTTCCAAAGATTTTAAGTGTAATTTAGGTTTAAATTAATGTTTAGAAGAGCTGTAAACTCGGGGCTGTTTTACAGCATCTTTGTGACATGTTGATCAAGGCATGTCAAAGATGTTCTATTAGAGCCTCAGGACTAGGACTGCCAAGATTAGTCGATTAGTCAACTAATCGAAAAAATAATCAGTGATTAATCGACTATAAAAATAATCGTTTGTAGCAGCCCTGCTCAGGACACTGCATCAACTTGTGAAAAAAGTGCTTTATGTCTCCTTTAACTTCTTGTTTCCTGCTTTCCAGTAAAGGGAGTTTTGGGTTTTGTCATTGTGTTTCCAATGTCGGTCATCAGTAGCTGCCAGTTAACCTCATTGATACACTAATGAATGAACACTGGGCAGCACTTTTACACTCCTCCACCTGAGCCTGGCATGGCCACAATGGAGACACACTGGGCACTGGGGGGCTCTGACCACCTGGCACACTGACTGCATACACATAGCAGATGGTTTACATTGCTCCCTGATGGGAGTGCGCAGCTGAGGAATCCTAAGCCGTCTGTGTTTAAACGTGCGCACAGCATCAAAGAAAGGAAGAAAAAAAAAACACTGTCTGCTTTTGGATTATTGACTGGCATCCCCTCTTTTTGTCTCTTCAACTCAGACCACCAACTGAGCAAGTGTGTGTGTGTGTTTTTGCATCATGGTCAAAGCCTTCTTATTGTCCTTGCTTAACAGTGTGTCAAAGTGCAGAAGTGACCGCAAAATTTACTAAATTCACCAGAACYCCATTTTCCAGTTCTGAACTATACAGACAGTGTTGGGTTAGTTACAGTTAAGACACAGCRGGCTGAATAAATTAGGAGCAATATGTAAAACTTTAAAAGGAAATTAGTCTGCTGGGGAAAAAAAAAAAACAGGTAATAAAGGCTAATATGAGGTGAAAAAGCAGCCACTGATAATGAAACCATCAAAAGTAATAAAAGCATTTAATTCTAAATATTAAGCTGAGAAGATGGCTGGCCTTCTGATACAACCTTGACCACAGCGGTATCCAGATAACTGCCAGAATTAGTTAATCACAACAGTGGACATCACTTCCCTTTATCAGCTCCTTCTCTCCGCCACCTCCTGGTGCTTTTCTATCTGCTTCATCTTTCGGTCTTCCTTCCTGTTTGTGTATCTTTTCTATCTGTGTCCCATTAAACCTCAACTCATTAGTAAAAGCTTCCCCTGTGTGTGTGTGAGCGTGTGTTAAGAGTTGGAGTGTGTCAAACGGTGCACAAAGGGACTTCATTAGTGCTTGCTTTTAACATGTTGTTTATTCCATTGTTTTGTTGCTCTGGACAACCTTGAGCACCACTGGTAATTAAAAACAGGACTAAAAAAACGATAAGATGAGACATCAAAGCACTTGAGTCTGACTGATTGTTGAATGATGAGAGGTTTAAGAGGATACAGGGCTGCACAATATTAGGAAAACATGCACTTGCAATATAACTGTTGAATATGTGGGGACTATGTGATGACAATATCAGCTGCAATAAATTCACATTTCCATCACTCCTGTTTTTCTTTTATCATTAAACCCTGTCAATGATCTCAGTGTGCTGTAGCCTCTCAGCCACTAACATCAGAATTGGCTGTGAGGCTGCAAGGGGTCCATCCGATTGCAGTTTGGGACTGAATTTAATGCAACCCTTTGAGATACTGACATCATACATGCTGATAATGTGACATTGTATTGTGCTGCTGTTAAAATCAGACCCAAAATAAATTATGATTGTGAAGAAAAATAAATCCATTTATTTTTTCCCAATCTTTAAACTACTGCAGATTAGGGCTGCCACAAATGATTATTTTTATAATCGATTAATCACTGATTATTTTTTCGATTAGTCGACTAATCGGATCATACGTTAATTGAATATAAAACATACAGCTTATCGTGCCAGAATGCAGCTGCTGTTATATAACCATGGTTAGATTTTATCTATATGCTAACTAAAAATAATTGCTGTGAAAGGCAAGTTCTGCTCTGCAGATATTGCACAGGTTTTTCTTTCATCTTCTTAAAATGATCCCACACTTTTGAGCTCTGTTGCCAGGTAGCCATGATACCAGAGCCTGTCTGTATAAAGTCTTGTGACGTCCACGGCCTACCCCAGTTACCACTACTGTGCATGTGTGTCAAGGACAGAAAGGCAGATGTGGCAGTGGAAGGTGTCAAAGCAGTTTGGAGAGAAAAACAAAGTAAAGAAAAAAAAAGAAAACGATTAATCGATTATTAAATTAGTCATCGATTATTTTAATAATCGATTAGTCGTCAATTAATCGATTAATCATGGCAGCCCTACTGCAGATTTGTATCTCATTTGACTCAACACAAATGTATTTATTGTTTTAATAGTCTCTGCATMTCTTCTCCCGACACCCTTAAATATAGCTACATAAACAACATTTAAACAAAATATTATCCTGAATGCCAGTGTGAGAAATAAAGTGCTTTGTGGTTGCATCATTGTCTGCTTATACTCCCACCAAGCCGCAAATAATAGTAATAAAAGAATGCTTGTGTACGAACAGCTCCTTTCTTWACTCAGATAAAAGTACAAACAAAATTGCTGAAAAAAAAATGCGATCAAAAAATTGGGCTCACAACAATTCAATCTATTCTTAATACAAGTGCAAGTGGTGTAAAAGTGTGAGYGCTTAAATGTTAGGTTTATAAATATAGTTATTTCAAAGCACATTAAATATTTTTATTTTCTTTTTTTAGGTAGCCTAAAGATTTACAAGCTTTTATGAGAGCATGAGAGCAACAAGAACGTTGTGTGCRTCTTTCCCTGATGTTCCCACCTCAACCTGAGAGCAGAACAGTACAGAAGACACATGAGAATAGCTAAATAAATAAAGTATCCGTTCCCAAGCCAAGTTAATGGGTGTCACGCTGACAAACGGTAAGCACTGAATCCAATACGAATTGCATTGTTTGTCATCTCTCTCATAAACATACACATGCAGACAAAAACCCGCACCATCACAGGCATTATTATACATACTGGGAGTGACAAAAACACAAACACTGCACAAATAAGCATTAAAGTGGCACAAACACACAGTCTGATTATACATTCATAATTTTGAATGGATGACAGGTCTCAGGCAGTAAGAAGAGAAAGGGACTGAATTCAAATGAGCAGCAATTTTCATGAGAGCTCTGTCCTCCGACTAAATACACGCAGAAAGTAACAAATAGTCAGACTAGCACAACTAATTTACACAAAAGGAATAATAATTGTGTCAGGCTGCYTGTGAATCTATCATACAATCACAAGAACAAAACTTGCAGTTAACTTGTACAGCTGTCATCATTCCACAACAAAAGAGAACAACAGATGAATAGCGAAATAAAAAAGAAATCATATCTAGTGTTGACTACAAAAAACAAACTAACAAAACAAGACAGATTTCTAAAATGTGCAGTATTGAAGGGAAAAAAATAAAATAAATTTGCTATTCTGTCCAGTTCTCCATCTATATATACAATATAAACTATAAACACTGACCTCAGTAAGAAAGTAATCATCTTGTCAAATCAGTTGGACTAATTTAAAATGGTTGTTTTTTTTCTTAAATTAGAAGTGAGACCAAACGTGGCGATGGGACACAGCAAAGCTATTTTATGCTTGGCATGAACAAAGAGACAATCAATAAGAAATAAATTACCCAAAAACCTCAGACATAAAATGAACAAAATGAAAACCACAAACCCTACCTTCTTCAGCTTTCCATTGCGTGTGCCTACAAATGCCACGGTGTTGCCATGGTAGTCATACGCTGCCACTGAAGTCATGCCATCATCCTTGTCTATGAAGAGCGGGATGCCTTCAATGGTGCTGGTTCCCCCCAGAGGCTGGTTGAAGTCCTGGCCACAGAAATCGTCGTCTATCTGCAGGGGCTAAAGTGAGGAGAGAACAAGAAAAATAATAAGAAATCCCATTTTACCAATAAATACATTCAGGCTTTGAATCATAGTTCACGTAKGATAAATGCTTCTCAGTTGAACGCTGGTGCATCCATTGCTTTGCTTCTTTAAAGAAAAAGCCTTTCTTTTTGTTGAACTATCAACAAGCTTAACACTACTACTTAAGGTAAGACTCCAAATACTCATCAGAGCACTAGACAAACACTTCAGTCAAACCAGAAAARGGCTTAAAGGGATAACTCAGATCCCTTTAAGTGAGGTTCTGTAAAAAGGTTATAAACAATTAGTATCTTACTTGCTGAAGAGCAGTCTAGAATGACAAGCTAATGGCTAATGGCTGCTCTGAGAAGTGCCCAGAACGGATTGCTGCAGCATTGCATTTTCAATGGGAACACTGTCTCAAAAATGTTTGCACTGCACATTTATTTCAGCAGAAAAGTAGGTTCTGCTACACCAAAAGCGCTACTACTAGCTGCTGCTTTTTTTTTTTGCTACATGCATTTGCAAATGACTCAACATAATTAGCTGCAAAAAGCTAATCTGAATATATCGATAAGTAAAAGCTTATGAACAGTTTGTTTAAGTCAACTGCATTTAAATTTTTGAAACTGGAATTTTTAAATGGTTGTGATCCACTTTGGTCTCAACCCAGCTCGGATTAATGATTAGTTCATCAGTCCCGTCAGGATATAACCCCATTTTGCCATACTGATGTCAGTCAAAGAACTATTCATCTCATCTTTTCCACAAAAGCCCACTTCAAAAGATATTGATGTTTTGGAGCCTTATAGAGATCAGAGAACATGGATCAAGCTGAGAACGTACAGAATGCCAAACCAAAATCTAAATGTTAAAAGTAGCTAAGCTGTGTTGAAGTTCACATGGAGGTTTATTGGGACTGCAGAGAAACCCAKCTCACCTTATACAGCTTGATAAATGTGATCCCATCGCCCAACACATTAAAAAGTCTATTCAAATAAGACTCCATTCATAGGTCCAAAGTTTCTCACAAGCACAATCCCACCATTCAAAGCCTTTTTAATTTGAGTGTGTTCAGTCATGGTGGTGACCCGACAGTAATGGTGGCAACCATGTGACAATATCGGGAGCATACCAGAGTCACAAGGGGCACATCGCCCAAGGCAACTCACTGACCCATATGATCCCTTWACCAGTCGCCACACACTCCCACTCAGGGAGTGTTATCCAAAGAAAAGTTCAAGTGGCAGAATGAAGAAATTCTTTGCTTGTTGATAAATGATTGGTTTAAAAATTTGAACAGTTATACATGTTTTTTCTAGTATCAATCTATTAGTGGAAAAAATGTTTCAATTGGTGGGAGAAACACTTGATAGTTTATTCAAAGGAAAAACTGAATCGATCCCCTTGCTTGATTCACCTGTATATTAAATAAATTTTAACACCTTTATTTTTATACTTAAAATACAAAATATAACCTTACAAAAAGCTGGCCAAACCCTGACATCTAGTTGAGCCAACAGAAACTGCAATWGAACAATATGGTTGTATAGATTAAATCATTTATCAGTCCATCAAAAAGTATTTTTACTCTGACAGAAAACAATCATAGTATTGTAKGAGTCTCCAGTTTGATCAGGTAGTCCATTTTGGTTGCTGTTTTGGCAGAATTTTTAATGACAAGGTATGCATCAGATTGTGAACACAGGTGTTTGTGCAAGGCACAAGTTTTTTTTTTGTTTTGTTTTGTTTTTGTTTTTTTAAGAAAAGCAAAGCAGCATGCCTGTCAGTCAGTTATACAGAGACGGCACACACGTGTGAGCTGGTACACACACAAGTACACTTGGGGAGTGTGTAAATAGCAGTGTAATCCACAGACTTATCACTACATCATCTGATTGATCCACACAGGAGAAAAGATAACACCCCTCCTCCACARGCTCTCCTGAATGGTCTACCTAAATTGCCTAAAGCTCAGCACGCGTCAATAAAGCTTTTCTCTGCACTTTTTTACTCGCTCGCTCTTTTTCTTTATCGGCTTTCAGCTGCCACAGTAACRAAGAAYACTTTAATARGCACTGTTTCTACTCTTTTCAACTTTCTATAAGTCACTTTTTCATCTCTAAAAACACACTTATGATCTGCAGGAGATGGAATGGCTCTTAAGTCAGGTCAACAAAGTGTCGGTCTATTCACACCCTTCTCTAGTGTGTGTGTGTGTGTGTTTGTGTCGGTTCATTTATGTTTAAATCAGTAGTTCAGACCATTTTAAGCAAGGTTCTGTGGGAAGACAATGAACAACTAACATCCTAGTGATTAGTGCTGGGCGGTATACTGTTTTGTTTCAGCCGCTTACAGTATATGATCTGATGTAAAAAAACATCCCATTTTCACCATCGTTGAATAGTAAACAACTCTTCAGTGTCGTGCACAGTTAGATTTAGCGCACTATATAATAGAGACGTTATTGTATGGAGACTCTAGCYTGCTTCTATTGTGAAAAGCCAGGGGGAAGTAGTTTTGTAGTGTAGCTGAGTTGACTGGTGTGCAAGGTGAGTCGTCCTTCTAAGTTTTATTAACACACAACGACAGACCAGATAATGATTTTTTTCTCAACCCTTCACGATCGGACCTAAATGCACGACTACTGTCTACAACCAGTCAAAGAAGAAAAGACCCACAAGAGGAGGGAAACAGTGATACAGAGGTACAGTAAAAGAAAAAACTCAATAAGCAAAGTTTGTACATTTTATTATCAGCTGAGCTGTGAGGAAAAAATTTTTGTCAAATACCGTGAAACCGGTGTAATTGTWGAAAATACCATGATATAAAATTTTGGTCATACCGCCCAGCTCTACTAGTTAMAATTATAGTTCATTGAACAAACTCAGATTAGAGAAATAAAGTTTAATTATGAWTGGATTGAGMAGCAAAWAGTCCAAGAGAGGCAAAGTCCAGTGTGATTGCAACGGTTTTAAAACAACTTCAACCCCAAAGATTTTCAGAGCAGGTCACATATTTTCTAAAACTTTGTACTGATGGTCAATTTCTCATTTTGGAGGTTATTTACAAAGAATGTTGTTATTTGTGAGTAGAAAATAGCAGGAGCAGTAGTTAGCTGCAGGACTTCAAATGCTGCCTGAGGCACCTCCAGCAGGAGTTTCTCAATATTTCTACAGGAAAAATATTGTAATTACAAAACTAACAGCAATGTCGAGATTTTTTAAATAATGTTTGCATGAATCACTCTGACATTTTTGTGAATAGAGTTGTTTTTAACTAGATCTGCTTTGCTTGGAAGTAAGAAGGGGGGCTTTGAGGAAAATAGGTTGGGAACCAAAGAGATAAACCACACCGACAAACAAATGCAAACAATCTGATAAAGCTGGCCTCGCAAATACAAACTATGACACAAATTCAACTAAAATATCCAGTACACACAGACTTGGCTAGAAGCAATAAAATAATGATGATCTTCATATGACACACAACTAGAGGCAACAACTTTGGAATCATGTGAAAGAAATCTATCAGCCTGGATTAGAGTCCGACTCGAGCAAACACACACATAAGCTATTTCATTACATCACAGCCTAAAGGACACAAGTTAAAAGGGTAAATTCATCATTTACAGATGAGAGCAACTCCTGAACACACWGTGCACAGTTGCATCGAGTCCCAAAAAGGCTTACCGCCCACCCCATATATAAACTAACAACCACACACAGCAGCCTGTAAAGGTCTGTCTGGGGCCCTGGCTGGTATAGGTCCTGMACCTTTTCTGCAAGTCTGGTGAGTTTAAACCGCAGAGATCAGCACGAAATAAAAGGCATTTCTCTAGAGACTGGAAAACCTTTTACAGGCACAACATTCWGTGTATGATGCAATTTAACACACTGAAATATCCCCACGTGAATTAGGGGCAATATACAGTGTGTTAAGAATATTCATCTCAGTGGTCTCTGCAGGGTTATTGGCTGGAGACTGTATTTAAAGCTCTGCAGTTTTTCAAAAAGGCAATGAGGAAGGAGTTAGGCAAACAACCTTCCACTGACTTTGGCAGCAGTGTTTGTAAATGAAGAAGAGGAGGTTTGTTTTGATTTTCAAGGAGTGCATGTGTTGCACACTAAGTGTATTTGTAGCTTTAGGACTTAARGTAAGATGGTAACTTTTTTAATTTGAAACTAATGGGTTTACCAATATCTTACTTAATATCCCTAATTTTATAGGCAATAAACAAATGTGCTGCGTTAGAGGGTTGCCCATCAGGTTATATATTGGCCTGTAGATTCCTTTACTTAAATCGACAGATTTTCACTTTGTTTAGAAAACTTTGAGTTTCAATTTAGTTTAATAGGTTTATTATTAAAGTTGGGCATTGAGTCTCYAATATTTTCTTATCTTATGATGGACACCTGATTGGAAGCACCTGGAGGTACCAGAAGCTCAAAACAAGAGTCAATAGCTACAGTAAAATAAGCTGTTTAGCAGAGAAGATTTGGCCAATTTTCCATGTGTGCAACCCACATACTCAGCTCTACTGCTCATGCCACAAATAGGGCTGCCACAAACGATTATTTTTATAATAGATTAATCACCGATTATTTTTTCGATTAGTCGACTAATCG